GCCTTCTATGGATCACCTGCCAATCAGAAAATGCCACATCTCATTCATCACAGAAACAAGGGGCTCTTTTGCTCAAAACTGAAATGTGTACTTTAAAAACCCGACAGTTCTCAGGTTCTGTGGTTCACCCCTAGTAATGTTGTAGAGTTACATGACTGCATTCACAACTGACATTCTTTGTAATGTGAAAGAAAAGAAAACTCATTGGCAGAGGATGCTGATTACAGCATACTGCCTAAAAAATTTTCCACAGCACTTAAATGCTTAAAGATTCATTCTCACAGTTTCCATAGAAAAACACTCTTTTAGAAGAAAAGTTAGTTTTCCTAAGTAAGCAGTATGAATATGAATTTAGAAGCGAACAAATTTTTCAAGTAAAATATTTTATGTGATATTGATACTTAAAATCGTTATATATCTTTTTAATTTATAAATATTACCAACTACCCAGCTCTGTGAAAGCTATGTTGCCAGATTTGCATCAGAGTAATAAAATATGACAACCACATTTGAAGACCCCCATGCTCCCACCTTCCCAATCGTGGGTACCATTGCGTACTTAAACATGTGTATGTTTATACACGTACGTGAATCACGTTGAACATGTTTGTGTTTATTGACTATACAAATTTCCTTTTCTGTAATTTTTCTTTGTTCATTTATCTATTGAACTAGCACTTTCTTACTAATTTGTTATTAGGTTGGTGAAAAAGTAATCATTGTTTTTGCCAACATTTTCAATGGCAAAAACCTGATTACTTGTGCACCAATCTAATAAAAGTTATGGATATAATGCCTTTTTTCATGATGTATATTATAAATGCCTTCTTCTAGGTTATGGATTCTTTTATAACTTTGTTAATATAGTATGTTTGTTTCAACACTACTTAATTTCAAGTAATTTATCAATCTTCTCTTGTGTTTGTGTATTTTGTATTTTGTTTAACAAAGTCTTCCCTACTCTAAAACTATTAAGATATTCTCCTAGGTTTTAATCTCAGAGTTTAAAATTTTATTTTCATTTCATATATGTGAAGAGATCCAATTTTATTTTCTTTTTTATAAAAATAATAATTCAGCACCATTTATTAAATTCCCCATCCTCTTTTTATTTACTAAGTTATCTCCATATCAAATTTCCGCACGTTTGTATTTCTAGGCTACTCTGATCTATTCATCTCTTTATAGCTGGTAGGATCCTCCTATCCTTTCTTTATTCTTCAAAGTTGTCTTCATTGTTCTTGTCCCTTTACGCCTCTGTATGAACTTTTAAATAGTATTGTTGAACTCTACAAAAATCCACAGTGGCTTTTTGATGGGGATTATCACATTTAAATCATTGAGTATTCTTTTCTACTATATATCATCATTTGATTAGGTATTTTATTTCCTAAAATAATAGTTAAAAAAAATTTTCCATAAGGTCTTCAAAATGTTAATTTGTTTTAGACACCTTATAGTCCTTTTTATTGTGAATGAGATTATAAGCTTTTCTTCTATTACATTTTCCATTAGTTTGTATATAAAGATCTTAATGATATTTGATATTGATCATGTATTCACACAGCTTGTGAGTTCTCTGTTAGTTCTAATAATTTAGATATAGAATAAATGTCTAAATAGTGATATTGTCTGTTGACTATTTTTTTTTCCAAATTTTCCTCCCTCCCTCTCTCCCTCCCTTCTTCCCTTTTTTCCTTCCTTTCTTCCTTCCTTCCTTCCTTCCCTCCCTCCCTCCATCCCTTCTTCCCTTTTTTCCTTCCTTTCTTCCTTCCTTCCCTCCCTCCCTCCCTCCCTCCCTCCCTCCTTCCTTCCTTCCTTCCTTCCTTCCTTCCTTCCTTCCTTCCTTCCTTCCTTCTGTCCTGCCTTCCTTTTCTACGATTATATACAGCTATTGGTACACTTTTAAATAATAATAGAAGTGATCCTTAAATCGTGGGCAGATTGACTTAGTTCTTATTCATGAGATCCAGTGTTCGTTTAGGTTCTCAAGTTCCCAGGTGGTCAGCGACTTATCTTGATCTATCTTTTTTTGGAGGAGGGAGCTCAGCAGCCCTAACCCAGTTTTAAGTACTGCTGTGGTCTCCATCTTGCAAAGAACATTTTAAGCACTTTCCTTCATAAATGCAAAATGCCATGTCTAGCAATGTCTACTTCCTGGAGGAGACCAGGCCCAAACTTCAGCCATGCACACTGCTCATTTCTTGTTCAGCATCTTGGGAGATTTTTCTCTAGAGTACATACCTAGAAATGGAATTATCTCACTTTCTAAGATATCTTCAGCTTTACTAGATATTGCCATGGAGATGCTTTTCTTGTGTTTCAATTTGCCTATGTCATTTTTACTTTTATTTGTGCTTTAAGCATTTTATCTCTTGTTGCTATTTTTCTGCCGTGAAAACTGAAGCAATATATGAACTTTTGGAGTGATTTTGGCCAGGAGTCATCACTTCTATTTTAAACATGACTTTCTTTGTATGTAAGAAAAGGTAGGAATCAGAACAATTATATTTATATGTCTGCAGAATAATCCCTCAATTATGAATTCAGTATGACTATAGATTCCAACACAAGGAAAATATCTGCCCAGTTGCCATGTGGCTTACTTATCATTTGTTGAACATGATCTGTGCATATAAAACATTTTTTAAATGGGATCTGACATATAATGGATATTTGTGCTCTCCAAAGCTTGTGATGAAAGGTGACCCCCAATGTTGGAGTCAGGGCCCAGTGGGAGCTGTTTGGGTCATGGGCATGGATCCCTCATGAATGGGTTGGTGCCCTCCCTGCAGTAATGAGTGAGTTCTTGCTCTATTAGTATACACAGAGCTGGTTGTTTAAAAAAGCATAGCACCTCCTCCCCATCTCTCTTGATCCTTCTTTCACCATGTGGCATGCCACTCCCCTTCCTCTTCCACCATGATTAACTACTTCTTGAAATCCTCACCAGAAGCAGATGTTGGCACCATGCTTTTTGTACAGCCTGCAATACCATGAGCCAAATTAACCTATTTTATTTATAAATTGCCCCTTCTCAGGTATTCTTTATAGAAACACAAAATGGAATAACTTAGGGCCAGTATAAGTTTATTGTTTTAAAAATTAGACATTCCTAAGGCACTTTCAAGTGTGTAAAAGGCACACTTTAAGACAATGTAGTGAAGGGGTTGAGAGAAGAGCTTCCAGTCACACCACCGAGTTGGATTCCAGGTTCCACCAATTACTAGTTTATTAAGCCATGGTTTCCTTATTAATAAAATGGGACTCTATTAGTATCTACCCTGAAGGGTTATTTTGAAGCTTAAGCAAAATAGTTTACATTTAAAACTTTTAGCACAATATTTGGCATATAACAAACACTCAATAAAATTTAGCTATTATTTATTTAAGTTCATAAAGGTTAATAGATTATCTTTTATGTGACATAATCTGACAATAATCTGTAGCCTTTTATTTTCATTACTTTCAGTTTGTCCATTTCATAAAATTAATCACATATGCTTCCTGTAATTAGCATGTAGGATAGGGGTCTTCCATAATTTTTAGATAAAAATAGAAGCTACACTTTCAAATTAAAATGGAAAAGTTAAACTCCATAAAGTAATCAAAGTCTATTTGCTTGTGTCTCATTGCTGAAGACCAATAATCTAACAATAGGCAGATTATTTCCATTATATTAGCTGAAGAGAAAAATGAATGACAGACTACAAATGATAGAAAATAAAATAATAACATCAAATATTAAAAGCCAAGTTTAGAGATGACATAAAGATTCAATTACTAACATTATGAGGCTTTGCCCTTCTGCTTAGTATAAAAGCAAACTATGCTCTGTGAAATAGTACTTAAAACTGGTGAATTCATGGTTTAGCCAGGTATACTTACAAATCTGTGTTATAAGTGAACATGCAACATGAAAAATAGTATTGAATTGATGATGTAATAGTGACAGACATATGTTCCTTTGAGGAACTGGCCTTTCTCCACCAAGTGCTTGCCAATCACGTGACCCAACCTTTCACATTGCAAGGTTGACCTGAGGCCAGGGAACCCATCCTCCTGAACACTGTAATTGATTTAGAGATTGTTTTTGCCATGCAAAATATTTTTTAGTCAAATTTGTCATGAATTTCTGTTATTAATTCTGAATTCTGAGTTTATTAGAAAATAGTTTCCTATTCCCAGCTTATTAAAGTATACACTTACGTTTTCTTCTAGTATTTACTTGTATTCATTTGTATAGTTTATCCTGGTGTGTCATATGAATCACTTTAATCTTTTTTTCATATAACTCTGCCAGTTATATCAACCGCACTGAGTTAAAAATTTCTCTTTTCTTAATTTAATGTGTGGTCTTTATCATGTGTTATATTTCCATATGCACTCAGTTCTTTGAATATAACATGTCATTTCTCTCTGAATGCTTTTAAGATACTTATATTTTGTTTTATAACAATTTTGCTGCAATGTGCTTGGTTATTTTATTTTTTAATTTATCATGTCTGTGGTGTGTAGCACTTACACAATTGTGATTTGATATCAGTTTTGAAAGACTCTCAGCTACTTTCTTATCAAATATTTCTGCTGGCCTATTATCTCAATTCTCTTTTTGAGATTCCAATTACAGATGGAATCTATGAGTAATAAATTAAGGCCTATGTTAGACCTTTTTACCTTGTTCCACTCACCCCTTATTTTCTTTTCAGTATTTTCCAAACATCTCTCTGTTTTTCAGTCTGTATATTTTTATTTGATATATCTTCTAATTTACTAACCCTCTCTTCTTCTGTATCTAATCTGATGCAAACATTGAGTTCTTAAGTTTCAGTTACTGTATTTTAACTCATTTATTGATATATAATTTATATATAATATAATTCATAGATCACATAATAATTCACCTATTTAAAGTATACAATCAATAGATTTTAGTATATTCACAGTCATATAACCACCACTACAATTAATTTTAGAACATTTTCATTACCAAAAAAGAAGCCCCATACTCATTAGCAGTCATTCCCCATCTTCTCCCAACTCACCAACCTCTAAGCCCCACTAATCTACTTTCTGTCTCTCTATATATATTGCTTTTTCTGGAAATTTCACATAAACAAAAATAAAATCTGTGATCTTTTGTGACTGGCAATTTTTATTTCCTTCTTCTGCATATTTTTCATGCTTCCTAATTTCTGCCATTATCCATGAATTATGGACAGGGTTTGGGGGTTAAAATAATATTTACTTTTATACTGCAGTGGATACTTAGGACATTAAATCCAGGGACTGACTCCACCGCTGAGATGCTACTTGTGGGGATCATCTTCTCCCAAGCTCCACGTTTTAGCTTTGTACAGAGTGATGTCGTTGTATACCCTGAAGTGGTTCAGCCTGTGGTTGCTGCATTCTCGGTCGACCAAGGACTCTGAGTCCCATCCAATTTCCTGGTTTTCAGTCTGTGCCTCCAGGCACTTCTTTGGCCCCTGGGCAGCATGGTGAATGAGATTCAGAAACCTGGCATCTGCAGGTTCCTCCAGGTTATTATGCCAAGACATGGGCTTCCTGGTTAATCTTGTGAACCTTACGCAGGGGATTCAAGTGGCACTGCGTGTAGAGTTTCTGGGTTCGTAACTCTTTGACGTACAGCTCCCACAAGATCTGGTTCTGACGGACCTCATCTGTGGCCACCCTCTCCTGCGGGTGTCCCACCATGGCCTTGGAGCTGCTGGGTGGGGGTGAGGATGAGGGTGGGTCCTGCGCTCTCTCAGCGTCCTCTTACCGTTGCCTGCATCTCCAGGCAACGGTGCCCCACTCCGTCACCAGGCAACAGCGTTCTTATGATACCGCTCTGCCCTCTCCGAACCCAGCCTCGTTACTAGAACCGCCTCTGGATAATGCCAGGAAAAAGACTTGCCATCAGGTGGCAGACCCAAAAGATAATAAACAGAACTGGACCTCACGTTGGCCAATCACTTCCCTCCTTGATAACAGATCTTCACTCCTCCACCTTCTTTGCCCCTGGTCCTGCAGTTCGCTCTGTAGTCACAGCCCAAGTTCTCTGGAGAAGCCAGTTCAAATGCAGAGCTTGTGCAGGCTGGTGGCCCAGGCAGGAGAGGAAAGGCGCAGGCCAGGCCGAATGCTCGCTTGCCATGGTGTTGGATTCCCTGTGTCCGCCAGGTCGCTGCTGGGAATCCACACTCCTGGCAATTCTCAGTTGCCTGAGAACTGCCCCAGTAGGAGGGAAACCATCTCTCCAGGGTGAGATTTGTAATCCGTCAGGTCTGGTTGTGGGTGGCTGGAAAGGGGGTGGGGACTAGAGTACAGGGGACTAGTAAGAAGGACTATGGGGAGGGCGAGGGGGAAAGATACGGGGGCACTGGGAAAGGGGTGACTTACGAGCAGGGCGGTGGCACGCCGATGCTCTGGAGGTATCACAGGAAGAGCTGTGCAGGGAGTTCAGGGAGGTTGGGTACTGGGAAGGGGCAACATTAGTCAGCTGCGGCAAACGGGTAGGTTGGAAAACCGAACAACGTGGATGGCCCTGGAGAGGAGGCTTATGGCAGGAAGTTTGAGGCGTAAGCGAAGGAAGGAGGGCTGGAACACGAGAGCGGGAACGAACAGAAAGAAATGGAGCCTGGGGTTGTGGCTGAGAAATCGGAGGTAGCTTTCTAGTCATTTTTCCAAACGAGCGTGGTAGTAACTCACTTGTCCAAACGTGTCAAAATGAGTAACTGAGATGTACTAAGACCGACTCCAGCATTTATCTCCTGGGGACATTTCATCACAGAATGCCTATTATGAAATGCACATTTATCTCCTGGGGACATTTCATCACAGAACGCCTATTATGAAATGCACATTTATCTCCTGGGGACATTTAATCACAGAACGCCTATTATGAAATGTACACGCTCCCTTTTGTTCTAGTGAGGAGGCCCCCCACCAATCCCCACCAATCCGGGAAATGGTCTCAGTTTCTTGGTTTAAGAGTGATCACGAGAAAGAGCAAAGAAAAGAAATGGGAGTTGTAATATGGGTCTCTGTTCTTGGGATATCATGTAGTTTTGCCCCTCTATAGGCAAAGAGTGATCAAGGGGGGCCAATATAGAGGAAGGGGCTTGGGGCCTAGGAGAGCAGTTCTGAAGCGGGAATTGGGAAATGGGAACACAGTATCCTAGTCTCTTGCCCTTACTACATTATTCAAATCCCTTTCACATTATCTGCCTCACTGCATGAATGTGCATGATTAGAGATGTTATGTTCATTTTATCAGTGCGGATGCTAAAGACCAGAGAGGGAACCACCATAGACAGGCAGGGGGTGGGTGAGCAGGCGACTCTAGAACTTGGGCCAAAAAGAGGGGCAGGTAGGATGGAGAACAAAATAGCCCAAAACGCTGACCAGCACCATTACCTCCCCCTGTGTCTCTGGACAGGATCTTGTAGGTCATGCCTCAGAGAAGAGCTGTACTTTTTGTAGCTTACCTCTTGGTCCCTGTGCTCCCTTGGTTTGATGCCTTAATCTTCACTGGAACCAGAAACCCAGCGTCCAAGCTGGGAGGATGACTGCCCACTCCTGAGCACCTAATGACTAGAGGTGGACTTCCTGGATCACTATCTGAGATGCCTAACTCCATCAGATGATGAAGGAAGCTGCTGCACCCATCCCCTTTCTTTTGTCTGAAGTAGCAGCCCTCTCTGCTGAGCATTCCTAGTTTCTTTGAATGCCATTTGAATCATAGGCTCCTTTGGTTCCCTGTTCTCTCTTGTGCTTGTATCACCGTAAGATTCTGAATTTTCTCCCTTGGCCCAACACCCTTTCCTTCCCATGCTGCATAAAACTTTCCATTGTGCTTTGGAAGTCCAGCCACATGATTATCAAACTTCCCTTTTTCCATAGACTGCTTCTTTATTGACAGTTCCTTGCCTCTTCTTGCTTTAACTGTAACTTGGGGTTTCTCTTAAGGACATTGCTTCCTTTGTCTCTCAAGTAGAAACTACTAATTCTGTCAAACCCTGAAGTACTTCAGAGTAAGAATGTGGTTTATAGATTCTCCTTGCTCCTCCTGACTCCTTGAAAACCACACTGCATTATTCCTCTATTTGCATTGGAAAATTTCTTGCTCCTTATGAGTCATCTTTAAACTAGGAAAGAAAATTTACTGGGAAATAAAAACGTTACACCTCCTGTATAATCACCTAAATAAACAAAGATGTTAACGCATAGTGCAGAAAAATTTGTCTGTTCAGAAAACAAGTATGTTCTCTATTCTCAGTGTGTATTAGTCTGTTCTCATGCTGTTAATAAAGATATACCTGAGACTGTGTAATTTACAAAGAAAAAGAGGTTTAATAAACTCACAGTTCCATGTGGCTGGGGAGGCCTCATAATCATGGAAGAAAGAAAAGGAGGAGCAAAGGCACATCTTACATGGTGGCAGGCAAGGGAACATGTGCAGGGGAACTCCCCTTTATAAAGCCATCAGGTCTCATGAGACTTACCATCATGAGAACAGCAAAGGAAAAACCCGTATCCCCCATGATTCAATTACCTCCCACCAGGTCCCTCCCATGACATGAGGAAATTGTGGGAGGTACAATTCAAGATGAGATTTGGGTGGGGACACAGCCAAACAATATCACACTGATTGTAAACAACAGCCAATAGATTGTTTACTTTTGACCAGGTTGAAGGAAGAGTCAACATATAGTACCTCAGAGCATGTTGCAGGCAGTGAAGGAAGAGAAAGCACAGGAATTTCTGAAGATCTTTCTAAGGTTCCTTCAATTTGGAGAACAGAGCTTAAGAATCTCAGAAAGCCAAGAAAGGAAATGAGCTCAGTTCCTCACCACAGAACAGCACTGGTGTCAGGATCAAGAAATAGCAGGTACCTACATGAACTTACCATTATGCAGACACAGGTTCTGCAAGCAGCCTGACCCATGGTTGGCTGGCTGAGTTACTTTCCAAGTAAACAGATTTGGAAGAAATGTATGTGAGGACAAAGCTACCAGAGTGCCTAGTTTTCTTCCCAATCCATCAATTATTTGAAGAACTGGGCTTAGCGGGGCTTCTCCCAAGGCTCATGAAACCTGGGAGAACCACCATGCATGAGGGAGCCATAGTGGAGGCCAACATGTGGATAGTTTGGTGGTTCTGCCTCAAATAGAGGATAGAACAAACGAAACAGAAACAAATAAATTCTTAAAAAGATTTTAGAAGATATTTTCTCTAAAATGAAGGAAGGTAGCGAGCATCAGATCAAACAGAAAATTTTCAGTTGGTGGCTAATGCCACGATATTCTGGAAAATTTTCTGAACTACAAGGTTAAGGATAGCCTTATGAATACGCCTGTCACCTATTAAGCTTAAAAACTGAGGCTGAATTCAGACATCTTCTAGGTAGCATTAAATGCTAGCAGATAGTGAAGCAAGTTTCAGAGGAATGCCACTTGAATGTGGTCTGTAGGCTGACAGCTTCAGTATCACCTGGGGTCTTGTTAGAATGCCAAATCGTGGGCCAGGTGCAGTGGCTCAGCTTGTAATCCCAGCACTTTGGGAGGTCGAAGCAGGTGAATCAGAGGTTTGAGATAAGCCTGAGGTCAGAGGTGCGAGACAAGCCTGGCCAACATGGCAAAACCCTGTCTCTACTAAAAATACAAAAATTAGCCACGTGTGGTGGCAGTTACCTGCAGTCCCAGCTATTCCGGAAATTGACGCAAGAGAATCCCTTGAACCCGGGAGGCGGAGGTTGCAGTGAGCGGAGAATGCACCACTGCACTCCAGCCTGTGCAACAAGAGCAAAGCTGTGTCTCAGAAAAAAAAAAAAAAAAGCCAAATCCTGGACCACTATGGATCACTATCCCAGACATACTAATTTCAGTTCTCTAGAGGTGGAACTCAGAAATCAGTATCTTAATATGCCCTCCAGGTGATTCAGATGCATGGCTAACATATAAGAAGCACTGCTCCAAACTTCCGTAAAACAAACACATGCAGCTCAGGAATTTTACATCATGCTAGGTCGTCATTTGCATATGAAGGTAACAGACAGCCATCTCTTCTTTGTATAAACTCAGGAAATATATTTCTCATGAGTATTTGAAACAAGAGCAATTGAATGAAGGAATTCAGTTTCACTGTTCATGTAAGAGCTAAGATAACAAATGACATTAAGACACTTCAAGATTAGCCCAACAGCCAGTCCCTGGGCTGACAGGACAGAGGAGCCCTGACTCGGGCCAGAGTTGCCTGAAGGAATCTGGAATCCTGGCAGGCCTGTCCAGTGGGAATGGAGATAATGCTTTAAACAATGGGGAGCTGGTGCCTGAGATTCTGACTGAGATGGAGCGAGAGAAAAAGACTCTGCTTCGCCTTCCTTCATCCTTCCAGTTTCTTGCCAGACATTTATAATACAGGGGTGGTGGCAGACCAGAACGGCCTTCCTAGACATGCTTGTCTTAAAGCCCCTTCTTTTGTTTCTGATATTTACAAATAGGACCTCTTTGTACTTCTGCTTTCTCTGGTCCCTTCTTTCCTTTATATATAGGACTTCTCTACATTTTCTGTTTATATGACTTTGAATTCTATTTTCAGCAGACTTTACTTAGTGTGGGGTTCTGTTCTTCCAGAGGGAAATCTTGGTTGGCTATTTCTAGAGGCTCTGGGACTTAAGTAGAAATCTTGGTTGGCTATTTCTAGAGGCTCTGGGACTTGAGTAGAAATATTGGTTGGCTATTTCTAGAGGCTCTGGGACTTGAGTAGAAATCTTGGTTGGCTATTTCTAGAGGCTCTGGGACTTGAGTACTCCAGCATAATCTAGTTTCACTTTACTTTTGCTACACCCTTCTACAGAGTTGCTGCTCTGTAACCTCACTCGAGTTTTGGCAATTATTCCCCGACCTGCCTGCCGGGTTTCCATCCAACAGCAGACTTCCGCTTTAGTAGGTGAGTACTTGCTGAGTCTTGTTACCGTGGCTCACAGAATGTTGGAAGTTCCCCCTTTTCTCCTCTCTGTTACTGCCAAAAGTTGGTAATTTTTCTTGCCTGCTCATATTCTAGAGTTTGTAAGAATGAGCCTTGTTTATGTTGAAGGTGTCCATGAGGTTTTACTTTCACTATTCTCGGTGCTCTAATCAATTTAGGGGAATTGGAATGGTTTAAAAGTCTGCACTGAGGCTGCCATTTTGCCGTGACGAAAACCTAAACCACTTTCTTTACTTGATTTTGGAGACATCATACTACACTGTCTTTCTATCCTATCTCACTGGTTTTTCTGAGAATTATTTGTTTCATGTGTGAGGAGAAATTTCATGTTTACTCTCTTCCCTAATACCTCGGCACACATTTATGAGATGATCTGTACTTGTTTAGAATGTTACCCTTGACACACATTAAGTATAGGCACATATAGAATATCCCTCATGAATTCTGTATGTTGTTTGTACTTTAAATATTGATAAATTTTGATGTAAACATTCTAGGCATATCTACTGAAC